TGGGAAAAAACCTAGGCGCGGGGCGCGCGGCGCGGGCGGCGAGCGCGGCAGCGAGCGCGAGCGACGGGCGACCCGAAACATAAGCATAGTATCTCGCGCGTCGCTCCACCTCCCGCTCATCGATCGATTTTCTTAAATGCCTTCCGAGTCCGGCCTACCGTCTCCTGCATCCTTATTCGCTCAGACGTGTAAATTAATTACTCGATAACTATTGTTACTTTTGTACCGCGGCGCATGATATTTCTCCTTAGTTTAACCTATTCTACCACTATTTTCAAGTTGGCTACTTTTGCATCAGACACCCTGTATAAATACTCCGATTTTATTTTGTTCATGAAAGTATTCACAATAGTGATAAGAATTACGTTTCTAATACTTTACCGATATTTATTTATAGCGCAACGAATGCAAGAAACGCGCTAAACAACGAATGGTTATTGAATGGACCAAATGGAAGCAAGGCACCCGTTTTACGTTTCAAGTAAGTTGAAGTTGTAAGAATTTATCTACCATTCATCCTTACATTAAAATGGTAATGCAACTGCATTTTATTTGTCCTTTAGGTGTTCCGCCTTAGACAAGCCACCAGAAGATCCACCTGCTAAGCAGTTACACATGACTTACAAAATCTTTCAAACTGACACTAGACTCATCAATCGCCTGCTGCAATCGCATGGCTTAACAGAGGTAATGTTTTAGTGATATATAAGATCATATACTATCGCGATTTATAAACATAAGACCAAGCAATTAAATTTCGAGTCTACGTTTTTTTACACATTTCTCTATATGGAATTATAGATATTTAAATTAACTGTTATAATGTTATAACTGTTATAACTGTTATGGGAACAATAATCAAACGAAAAAGAGGAGCGTTTTTTAATTTTTATTAAACATATTATAAATTATATTACGGCTCTGATAAATATTAAAAAGAGCATGCATTCAATTCTGCTTAACATTGTATAAAAAATGTAAAATCTCATGTAAATCTTTAATATTGATACAGTTTTAATTTATCAGAGTCTTATCAGATTGGTTGATAATATCATGGTTTGTACATAGAACTTATAGACATGGAAGGGGAAAAGGACCGACACAGAGTGTGTTCAAGAAGTGAGCCAGAAGAAACCGAAGAAACTATCATTCTGTCTCGTTCTATAACTTTTCCTCGAACTGCGCAAGAGTGACTAAAGCGAGATTGTATTTGTATTGTCACACAGATGTTGGACGATACAGTTTCAGCTTTCGAAAAGTATATGCTATTCCCCTTCCATGTCTATAAGTTCTATGGGTTTGTAGGACAAAGTATTATTTCACGAAGTACATATACTATTAAACGCAATTGCTCCAGTACCAATGCGAATCGCAGCATAAATCTACATTCATGTTTTCATGATTTATAGTTGTTTGTAACATTTCGACATCCTCACTGTTCAAGTTCCAATTTGCCAAGTTACCAAACCACTTTAACTGTTTGTATCTGTGGAGCATATTTAGCACAATGGTTCCTGATACTTTACTTGCCTCAGAAATATAAAAGCATCTTAAATTTTGTAAATTGTTGTTGCATTTATCTAGTCCTTGATGACTTCTATATTTGGTAGATGGTTTTAGTAACTGTTCTAGATGCTCGTTCGTCAAATCGAGACAACTGTGGATATGCAATGTCATTAACGCAGGAGCCAACAAAAGTATTTTTGTAATCACCAATGCCTTGACTGTATGTCCGAGTTTAATTTTCTTTAGATATTTAAAAGGTGGAGGATCATGTCCTTTTGTCCAAACTATATTTGATCCATTCTGAATGAGTATTTGCAGATTAGGACAATTGCTCAAAATTTCCTTTAAATCCACCTGCAGAGGATCCTGACTTTCCATCATTTGAATATTAAGTTCACTCAAGCTTTGGCCATTTGTTCGAAAGTAATTATAAAAACTGTGTAACCATTCTTTCTCCGGCAGTACATTATGTATATTTAATGAGGTAATGTAAGGGAAATGGCATAGTGCGTCAGGAAAATGTACGGAATGGTACGGTTCATAAATATGTATTTTTTTAACTTTTGGACATATTTGTGCTAAAAGTTTCATATGTAAGGGCGTCGTTTTATAACTCCTTGCCTCAGTTAAATTGAACGGAACTTTCAAATCAATGAGTTGATGCGTTATTTCTGCCACATGTTCCATGTAGCTATATCCCGCCAAAGATTCGAGTTGCGGGATTTGTATTAGAGCGAATAACACGCCCAAACTAGTAACAGCGGTATCAGCGACATTCAGTACTCTTAGTGTGTCACATAATAGATTTCTTTTATATTCCATAATAAATGGAAATACCTTTTTCAAGCAAAACTTTTTTTTCGATCTAGAGCGTTTTATTTCCCACATAGAAAAAAATCTCTTGAGTCGCGACCAACTAGTTTGTTTTTTAGATGAAATGGAGTGTACTTTGTTTCGTAATTCCGTTTGAAAAAGTAACTGCTTCAATCCGGCGTTTGTTACTTGTTTAGAGCAAGCTATGTCTAGAATTACGAGTCTCGGACAGCTACTACCTATGACTCCGAGCACGGCATCACTGGCTATATTTCGAAGTGTTAGATTCGATAAATTCTTCATATTTAATAGTGCCGAACGAAATAATTCGCAATCTAAGTTTAATAAGGTGGAACGGGTCAGATCCAACGATTCAAGTCCAATTCCTTCTGAAGCGAGTAACTTTAAGAGAGACGTTTGGTGGCTACATCCATAATAGCAACAGAGTTTAATTTTCAACTGTTTTATATCATTATTCAAAAGAAGCGCTAATACATATATCGCTGCAGGTGCGGAAATGAGTGTCAAACCGACAACCGATGAGTTGTTCAGTATCCTCAAAGTTTCCTCGATAACCTGGGAGCGCAAATGAATCGGCAGTCCATTTATATAGTACGGTCTGATCGTCCATTTTGCAAAGGCCAGTACTTGCGCCGTGGAAGATTGTTGTGAGAGCACATGCAAGTGTTGGCACATCCCGCCGAGTTGATGGCACACGCGTCCCAAACTAAGACCTTTTAAGGAATTAGGCTGACGGTGGCCAGACATCTTGTTCGCTAAAATATTCCAATAATAAGAAATAGTTATTAACTTCACATAAAGCTACACCTAGCTAGTATACATATATTAGGAATCTCTAGTTACGAGTACTAACCTGACGAAAACCTATAATCAATTATATATTTCATAATAATGTCTCTTATATTTGATTATCCTTTTTTTAACAAATTTTGCATTTTTCTTACATTCTTGGCTTTTCTCAAGCGTTACTGGATTTTTGGTATATTTACCATTTCCACCATACTTAACGTACAATGTACTAAAAAATTTATTATTTAAATTATAATTATACGTTTTTAGTTAATTTTAAGTAACTTTTGTGGTACCTTTATATTAGAATTTTAATTGAAAATAATTTAACTCTCTTACGCAGTGAGATATACACATCCTAATTTCGTTCACAATTATGTTGAGTGATTAAAATCAATGGAACTTAAACAAGAGTATTTCAATTTTAATTTAAGAAATATGATAAAAATGTAATAGTTATTAAGAAATTAAAGAATTATTTTGTATTGTATGATACAAAAGTTCTTGGATTAATTCCTTAAAGATTTGACATGGGCCGTAGTGTTACTTTTGCGTAGCAATTATTCAAATACGGTTCTGATATGATAATCTAATATTATATGATTTTTGATATTTGTACTATGTACAGATGGAATTTCCGATTCTCTTGTACCTCAGTAATAGACAAATATGTATAATGATATTATTAGTTGACCTATTACTTAATCTTTTGCGGTCTTATCGTGCAATGGATTGTAAGTAGGTCTGATCTTTTCTGAAAAAATTTGGACTATTTTTCATTCTGTTTTTCTTAAATAAAGGATAATATCATTGCAATATTATGCATTTTGTTACAAAATTATTATTATGATTATTATACAGCTATCATACACATTAAAATTATAGTTGTCATTATTGTTATTTATATCATCCACAAACTCGTGTTTGTTCTTTTTGCCTATAATTGCTAAAAGGATTTTATCAATGAAAAATAATAACATTTTATTTACTCAAAGAAAAAATAATGTACACAAGCAATAATCTTTTTTGAATAACTATGACTTCGAACAATCTTTATGAAAGCAAAATTTATTATTAGTGCAACGCGCATAACATAAATGAGACCAAAAGATATCATTGTATGATAAACTTAAAATATAATGCAAATGTTGCAGCTAATCTAAATAATTTTTAACTTTACCACTAGTAGACATTTTAGTAATGAAATAACGTCATCTGTACCTTGTTAATATATAATCAGCCATATTAATAATTTATTCAGCAATGTGTCTTATAGGCACACATTAATCACAACATTAAGTACGGAAAAGAGTATAAAAATTTAATCCTTGCGGATATATGATGTACGGTAGTCATAGGCAAATAAAAAATATTTCAGACAAAAGTTGTTCATATTAATTAGTAGAATAAGATAGTGTAATAAACAATAGGAGTTCCATTTAAAAAATTGAAGGTGACCTTCAAATGACTATCCAAGGTCAAGTCAATGGCATCATCTTATGTCCCCCTTCGAACCAAACAACTTTTGTTTGAATCATTTTCCGTATCTTTTGGAGACATTTGCGTGGATCATTTAAAATGTGACATCCTGTATACAAAGAACATTTTATTTATTGATTTGTTCAGAAATTGAATTAAGAGTATATAAAATATATGAAAACATGAACTTTAGTTTATGTTAAAACATAATTTTTAAATTTAAGTTTTTTATAATAATAATTATTATTATAGAGAGCAAATTAATGTTGACACCGAAAAAAATGCAAGTATTAAAAATTTACCAAAAAAATCGAAAACGCGAAAATTTGTATGAAAAAAATTATCTGTTCCATTGCCAATGGCTTAGGAAAAATTAGTTTTTGACAGTTGCAGCAATTCCTCAATTATCGAAATAAAATAACATTTATATCACAGTGAAATATAATATACTAAAAATCTTTAGATTGAAATTAAGTACAATAATCACAGATAAGACTTAAACTCGGTCTCATCGATATCGCTATATTATTCATGGGTCCAGTTTTTACACTAATAATATTGAATTCATCCTTTGTTGGATGCTAAGTTTGAGCACAGCTCAAAACAGGGTACCCAATTTTGTCAAATCATTTGCTGCTCCGTTTTGTCCAACTATACATGTTTGAGGAAACAAATATAGCATTTATTAAGTAAGAAGCTTAGAAATAAAATTAACTCATGATTAAATAGAAAAATTAAAGTGGCCTACTTATAGTTTTCGTGATGTTTTTTCCTGGCTTGCATTTATTAATTTAATGACAAGAAGAACTGATCGCACAATTTTTCAGAGCTGCTTTCAGACCAAAAGTTTACTGCGATACACATTATCTTTTTGTAGTCTTTGCATATGTAACAAATTTTCTTGTTATTAGTGAGATAGTACCACTCTTCCGCCCTACAAGCTTAATTACTCTGTTCTATCAAACTACCTCGTTTTATCCGACTTTCCTCTATTTTTACATTGTGGCACCAAAAATATCGGAATCTCACCATATTTTGATATTTTCATATTCAACGATTGCGAAAACCGTATGGTACAGTTTACTTTAGAATTTGAAAATGTTTTATTATTTATATTAAAATATAATTTTGCATATGTATTACAAATTCATGCGCTTGAAAACGCCTTCATTATTGCAATGTGACATACCTAAGCGCGCGAATTTTGGACAATTTAATTTCTCAACCTTCTTATTTTTCATTGAAAATTATTGTAGCTTCGGTATTTTTGTATTAGTATATTAGTTTCAAAATTATCTCAGGAATCTGGTTCATTAACGGATTATGACACACACATGGCTTCTCTATTTGTTGGATAAAAGGCTAAATAAATTTTCTTTCTCGCGTAAAAAAAAGGGAAAATACGTAATGCGCCCATACCTTAGAACAAGCAAAACTCCGATGGATGTCTCCCTAGCAGTGGCTCGCGCTAAACTGACAGTACTAACACAAGTTGACGCAACATCGCCACCAACGATTACGGACGGGCTCTATTTCTCACGCATGCGCGGCGCAACAGTGGCAAAACAAGAGGGAGGCAAAATCTTTGAACGCGCGCAAGAAAAGTGGAATGTATAAAATCAATTACTATAAATTATTAGAGTATCGCCGGCATTAGCATTATCCAGGATGTACTCTGTGAAGAGTGCATGGTCAGCACAAAAAATATGTTAAAGATAAAAGATGAGGTTTTAAGTGATGCATTACATAGCAATCCTTGGGTGTGAAGAATGCCACAGTCGAATTTACACCTATTTTATGTTTTATTTTATTTTACACACACACAGATATAACAAAGATGTAAAACAGACCAGTAGTGGTCTTCATATCTTAGATAATGTTAATACCGATTGTATTGTAACTTTCAAGGCCTCATCACTCGGAAAGTATACAGGGTGTCAAACTCGTTTGTAGCCAAACTAAAAATTACGGTAGATTGGGTTAAACTGAGAAGAAAAGTCATGTACCGTTTTGCACAATGGTTTATTTGTTTATATCTCCTAGGTAGCGGTAGCGAGAGGTGGAGTCACGCGCTTGTCACTCGAGATAGTCGTCACTCGTCACTAGGAGATATAAACAAATAAACCATTTTGCATGCCTGCCGGGTCCGGCCTTCCGCTCCTTGTGCGATTATTCGGCCAGACGTTTTTATTAATTACGCGATAACTATTGCTAATTCTGCACAACGGTACATGACTTTCCTTCTCAGTTTAACCTAATCTACCGTCATTTTTAGTTTGGCAACAAATGAGTCTCACACTCTCTATAACGAAAATATAGTTTGTTATAGTGTTTTGATAAGCTCTCGAGGTAAGCTATAAGAATATGTAATGAAAAAGGAGGTTCCATTTAATAATTTAAAGGTGATTTTTACATGACCTTGACGAAACTGTTCAAGGTCATACCGTATTGCAATCTAATGAGTCACTTAAAACACTATGACTTTCGTCCTCAATGGTTTTTCTATCATGCATATTTTCGAAGTTATAAAAAAAACGACATTTTTATACTATACTCGTATAAAAACTGAACCTTTTCACCAATTCTCGCCTAATTCAATACCAATCACATTTTCATGATCATTCTTGACACTTTAACATGGGAATATAATATTGCAACACCTATACTTGATCTGTTACTTGGACTCTCCTTTATTTTTATATAGAGGAGACAAGATTACTCTAGGAAGCGGTTCCCACTTCCTTCCAAGATGAGGCGATCGAATAAAAACCGACAATTTCTAGTCGGATTTGAACTCGGATCTTCGACTCATTAGAGTAGCACACAACTCTTTACGCCACGATCGCCACTGCATTAATATTCAAAAGATTATTTCGATATCTTAATATTTGCGGAAATTATTGTAGAGCGCGAACAGTACATACATACATACACACACACACACATACACACAGTCATTTCTTAAAAATGTGTTTTTTTGACATTATAAAATATTCTAAACACATTAGCAATGAAAACTCGAGTACAATTTTTTTCACGAAAACAAAGCTTCCTCTATTAGGAAGCAATAAACATCAATCATAATATTCTATATTATATATAATACAGATACAATAAACACATGCGATTAAAGTAAACTAATCTGTTCGCTATTCTATTAGAGTTTTTTTATGAATGTTTTACTATGCTTTATTCAAAGAAAAAATCAATATAATTTTTATTTGAGATGAACATCAATAATGTTCATAGTACAATTGTACAGACTTTGTGATCATGGTTGTCGCGAACATAAGTCAACAGTTTCATGAAACTGGAAGTGAAAATAAGGAGCTTGCAAAACTTAAAAGTGTAATACATAAAGCCAATATGAAATATGCGAAAGCAGTTAATCTAAATTCGTATTAGTGTTAAACAGCTTGAATAAAAACATTAGCAGATCCAGTATAATACTGATAGTTCGTTAACAATAGTTTTATTTGTTTCATTTAAGTATTTCTTTATTAGAAGCTTTATTTTTGGAAAAATTTTTCATTTGTAGATAATTATATTATATATAAAATATACCCACATATGCACATTTGCTTTTTCTTGAATAATCTCTATTTGTATAATATATATACCTACATGTATATGATTATCAATGGCAATGATTTTCATTTCCTCAAACCTTAATTTTGTTTAAAAAAAATATGCAAAAGTTATCCTTTTCATTATTTCTTCATTGTTATTATTTTTCTCTTTTGAGCGTGCGTACGTGCGTGCGTGTGCGCGCGCGCGCGCGTGTGTGTGTGGGGGGGGGGGGGGGACACGGGCGTATCCCAAGAATGTGCCGTTACTGTACAAGGTCTCATTTTGATGACCTTTCAGATACACACAAGTGTTTACAAAAGTTGGGGCACTATTGTAATAGCATATTCTTGAGACTAAACGAAGTTAAAAAGTCTGTATCACTTTTTCCGCCGATAAACAATTATCGATATATCATAAACTAAATATCGAAAAAGATATCAAATTTTTCTTGACTTCATAAAAAAATATCAGGCAAAGAGAAGAATGTTTCATACAAAAGTTGTTCAAATTAATTTATTAAGAAAAAGGTACAAATACGGAATTGTTTCTTCAGAATTTTAATTTGCACACGAAGCTTCTTCTATAACGGAGCCAAAAATCTGTATACGCGTAGGAGAAAAATTAGAAATGCGCATTTAGCTTCCTTATAGAGGATGCTTTGTGCAAATTAAAATTCTGAAGAAGGAAATGTCGATTTGTACCTTAACTCACACAGCTTCCTCCATGAAGAAGCCAAAATTAAAAATAACTTGCCCAGATGACGAAGTAATATGCAAATTTCCAATTAGCACCTTCAAAATTGAAAATTACGTTGCCCAGATGATGAAGAAGCAATGTGCAAATTTTTTAATCATACTACAGATACTTAGAAAGTGCATGAAACCTCAGAAACTATTGAAAGAGCATTACACTCACTAATTGATCGTTTTCAGTAATGTACGGGGTTGGTTTGATATTAAAAAGAACAATTTGAATTTTTCAACGTATAATACTTAATTTTTTGACATAGTCCCCTCGAAGTTCAACGCACTTGCTCCAACGTTTTTACAGGTTCGTGATTCCTTCGCATGGGTTTCTTCGAGACCCTCAATATACGCGTTTACCTCTCATCCATAGTCACAAAACCCCGCAAAAAATCTGTTTGATTCTTCTTGAACACTTCCAAACAGTCGGCCGATGTTCGCATGCAATTTTGTTTTTGCTCCGGAGTGAGCAGATGCGGTACCCATCTTACACAACATTTTTTCATGTCTAATTCATTACGCAAAATAAAATAAACCCGCTCAGTTGAGATGTCCACGACCTATGTTAACTCGCGCACTTTTACTCGTCTGTCAGCCAAAACCATATCGTGGACTTTATCAATAATT